TACAGTCCAGGCTTTGTCTTCTGTGCACTTATCAGGCCCTTCAAGTTGCATATATCCCTCCATACGTATCAAAAAGCAGAACTTAACCACAGGTCGCACTTTTCAAAACCAAATGCGTAAGCAACCCTTCCTTCTTTTGTGCTGCATTAATCTTAAGTATCTAAGTCTTTTAAAAGTACTTAAAATAATTTTACAGCAAAAGGGAAATGGTTGGACAACATCCACTGTCACGTGCAGTTCAGAACAAAGGACAAATTTAACCAGTTTTGACATACCTTAATGCCATTTCTAACACCAGAAATATTCTGAGAGCTACACACCAAACCTGTCAACATTAGCTGAAAAACCATCAAACAGAAATCTGCCCTATTCTTTAACAGACAGGAATATGGAAATTATTTCTTCCAAGCTTATCCTGAAAGATAGCAACCTATATAGCAACAACGGAATGTTAAAATAACTTAAGAGTTAAAATTTAAATTCTGCACCTGGGGTGAAACAATATGCCACATGCAGGCAGATTTGCTCCTGGATGTGTGTCCAAGCTGCAACAAGATAAAATGTTTGCTTTGTCCTAAAGACTGCTGTACTTGATTTAACACAATCTACTCCCAAGCAAACAAAGGGATCAGAAGATTTCCGGCATACAGAAAGTTGGGCTTGCAATATATTACAAATTAAGAAATCAGACATTACTGTACTGCTTACCACTTTTTTCTTTCTTCTCTAGGTCATTCAAAAAAACCAGAAATTTTGCATGAACTTCCAAGAAATTGCAAACATATCCAGCACTAACTGTAAGAGCAAGTTTTAAAACCTTTTCACAGTTTATTAATAAGAAGTATGTACTGTATAATGTATTATCTATGCTATATACAAAATATCTTAATTTTATATATACGTAGATACGTAGATATGTACATCTGTATATATATATTTACATACACATAGGCTGATATTAAACTCTAAACTGTTCTCAAGGATTCCATTCCACTAACTGTTAATTGTTGAGTTCACGTTTTTTTTAGTGGCTATTTTAATCTTAACACAAGAGTTTACACACAGTCAATACAAAGAAGAACCTTTATACATACCAATAAAACTTCTGAAAAAAAAAAAAAGAAACCAAAACAAAACCAAAAAACCCCAAGAGGAACTTATTTAATTAAACTGAATCATATTTTGCATAATGCTATTCATTCGCAAGGAATATGCAACTTAACAAATCTGTTCCTCTCATTCACTGTATCCAGAATCTTTTAAGCTTACTTATTGTTTTGTTTTGCACTTGAGATCTCAAAGGACAAACCAGAAAATGTTTTGCACTAACCACAGTTTGTAGCAGCACTAGCTACAATAAAACTTCTGTAAACACTGCCTCATGGTTTATGCCCTCAATATCACAGTAATTGCAGGCCTTTGAAGAATCAGGTTTCAAAAGAGCAATCTTAACAAATGAGACACAGAGATAAGCAAGAGATTCGTTTTGTATCTTTACCTAGAAACAGACCATGACTTTTAATATATGATGCACAAAATACAAGCTGAGGTTCTAATCCTGCAAATGTCAGAGCAATTTTGCAGGGGTACCGCTCCAATGCAGTGTTAAATGCACACAGGATACACTGAACCTGACTGTAACTGCTATCAGGTTAACGAGGGCTGGGGTAGCAAGCCCAAATTAAACAGGATTATCATAGGCTATTTTTTTTCCTGGAAGTTTGATAAAATCTTATGCTACAAGTTTCATATAACAAAGGGCAATAAGTGGCCTTGCTTCTCTCTGTTATCTGCAAATGGATGGTAGCTTATGCTTCTCAGTGGAAATTTCTACTAGCAGTTTTCAGCAATGATTCTTGATCAGCATCTGCAGTAATTCTCTGTCAGCAGTCAGTGCCCAAAATTTGATACTGAACTGTCCTGACTGCAAAGTTGCACAGCAAGTTTCTCTCCAAAAGACTGACTAATCACTCGTGAACCCGAGTAAACTCCTGACATACACACAGTGGCTGTGAGCACCACAATTTGTGCACTGCAGGACAAGCTCTGGTTTTTTGAAGTAGCCTCCCAATTGTTTTATTTGGGTCTCATTTATCTTGCCTCTTCACTTTCTTCATGACACTAATGATTTTAAAGAATATCCCCATGGTCCCTTCAGTCACTTCTTTTCCAAGCTACTTCCTACCCTTCATCATCTTTGACATTTTCCTCTGTAGCTCAGCAAATTTCACTACTCCCTGAATCAGGAGAGGGGAGCAACACAGATTTGTAGTGGCATGATGGTGCTTTTTATTTCTTTTTTTAACTCCTTCCTAATAATTCCTAATCTGTCCTGTCCTTTATTAGGCACATCTTGGCACAGAATTTGTCTTTTCATTGGATCATACAAGCTGTATGATTTTTTTTCCTGAGTAGAAAGTCAGTTCATGCTTTATTTCTGTGTACAGAAAATTAGGATTGCAATCCCTTCCATGCATATTACACTGAAATTGGTCTTTACTGAACTTCATCTGCAAACTTACATCCTCAGTTTCAAAATAAGATTTTTTTGCAGACTCTGTGGTTCAGCCTTTGGGATTTTCATGCTCCAAATAAGTTAATACAACCAGCAAACTTGTCACATTCCCACCTATCCCTTCCTCCATCCCTTGAATGGTGTAGGCCCTTGGCAGACTTGGGGTGAGGGGTGCAACCTCTTTTCACCGAGCAAACTGGCCATGACTACACAGCCCAAAGCAAACTGATCCCACTTTGAAACTGGCCCTGCTTTAGCAAGGACTGCATCAACCAGACAACAGCTCAGCAATACCTTTAGAGAACGCCAGAAGAGTCACGACACTCAACTCCCTGGCAACAAAAGTCAGGCCTAGTCTTTGTCACTGTTTCACATTTATACCCATGTTCGCTAGTCCCATTCACTAACCCTTGGCAACCAACCAACAAACAAAAATGCCCATCCTCGAGTTCTGAGTCTCCACAGAAACCCTGAAAAACGGACAGCTCATTTGTTACATTCTATTTCTGGAGCACCAAAGCAGGTCTACTCAAGGAGTTACACACAAGAGGCAACTTATCAGCAACTTTCCATTTAGGTTGTTTCAAAACTCTGCAAAAAGTATCACCTCCTGCCTTGCACTTCATCTTCCCAATGGTTTGGTCTCATACTGTCTCTCACCGACACTTCGCTTTGGAAAACTCCCTGACATGTTCACTCCTTTAAAAAAAATAGAAAGCCTCTTGCAAAAGAATCTCTTTAAACTCTTTCTTGCTGAAGCAAGGCTCAGGGAATTTGTTTCACTCTTCCACTGACTTTATCTTCCTTGGGCACTCCTTCTACGCATGGATAGCTTATCAGCAATCTTCCTGGGTTTGATGAGCTGCAAAGAGTATATTCTAATTGTTCTCATGCCTTCAGCAGCATGACTCTTTGGCTTACCTAATTGTGTTTGACAGTTTTTATGTTCTTTTCCACCTTTCCCATCTGAAGACAAAACCTTAACATTTGAAAGAGGTCTTTTTACTTATACTGAGCTGCTTTGCTTTGCTTGTCAGCCTGCCCAGCTTTTCTGGTATTTTTGACAGATGACATACAATTGCTTTGAGCCTTTACTATTAGGGTCTTTCAAGAATTACATGCGACTTGCAACTATTTTACACTTTTGGCTGCCTCTCACCATTTGATTAACTTCTTTCCTCCCTGTATGAAGAACTACTTTGGAAGAGTAAACACTGCCACAACAACTCTTGCCTTTGCAGCTCCTGAAACAACATTGAGTTTAAGGACATTATGACCAGTGTCATGTCAGAACTGGCTTGGATTTTGAATGCAAAATCCTGAACTTAATTCTTGCTGGCCTGTACCTTGTCCAGAGTTGTTTCCCCCAGTGTATCTGTACAAGCTACATACAGAAAGTAGGGGTTTTTGGCACCTGGGCAAATTTCATGTTGGGCCATGACATAATCTACACGGGGGAAACTGAGGCCTCTCATTAACAATCATATTTCCTACTTTGGAGTCTCTCTATGCTCCCTTAATTTATGACAGCTATTGTCAACATCTAGGTTGAGCAGTCACATAGCCCTAATCTCTCTACTCTTCCTACACAGGCCTAGAACATCAAGACGTGGGACCCTGTGTTACTTCCCCAAATAGTTATTTCCTCTTTAACAAAAAGTTTCCCACATTATGCATGTACAAGCTACTCAGTCTCTATGCATCCACAAAGTTTTTGATATTCCAAGTATTCTATAATGGAGATATTTTAACACCATCACTTCAAGAGAGAGAGTGTCATGGCAAACCTTACAATCCTTATCCATCAGCTTTTCCCCACTGTTTGGTTTTTAAATACATATTATTATATGTACGGTATATATAAGCACGTGTTTTCATTGAAGGCATACATAAACTGGCTGCAAATTCATTTTCATAAATCCTATTCTTCTAATGTAGACTGTGTTTACTCAAAAAAAGATTTTTACTTTCTCTTGAATCTCAGCACCGCTTTTTCTTCATCATTTTCTCAACTGTGCATTAAAACTGCCCCTAACTCCACTTGGTCCCATACATTAAAGACCTTTCTCAATGGAGAAAGGGGCCTTTAAACCCCCCCTTCCTAATATACCTCTTGGCTACCCATTTCCACACAGCGTGGCCTGTGATGAACAGCTCTCCTCTAGAGACTGACTTGACAGCTCCTAAAATCTGTCACTTCTGTCATCAGCAAGTAAGTGGGTAGCAGTGCTAATATATGTGCCAAACAGTAATAGTGACTGACTGCTCTACCTGCATCTGCCAACCTGCTGGGACCCCCAGCCTCAGGGAGACGACACAGGGCTCAGCAGGCTGACACCCTGCCGTGCCTGTACCTCACTGAAGAGCTGCAGAGTGGCACATGAAGTGATACTGTGCCTAAGGAGTTGGAGCTCTCACACCTTTCATCATGGTTTGCCAGCAAAAAGAAAGGGACTCATGAAGGAATTCCCTGGCAGCATCTTACCGACAGGGCCAAAGAAGGACACCGATGCATCTGAAGGGGCTGGCGGCAAAGAAAGACTGTGCTTCAGACTGAGACCATCTGCCTCACAGATCAATTCTGCTACGTTTGTGTGGCTGTCTCTGTGTTGGGGTGAATTTAAATGTTGCTGCTCCACTCTCTTTTTATGGTACTAATACAGGCATTCTGCAAAGATTGTTAAGACTTAAATAAAATAACTGTAAACTTAAACATGTTGTATTTCATCTCCAGAAACGGAGGTTTTCATTTACAACTGCTCATACCTTCAAGAGAATGCTGTCTGCAATACTTAGCATGGTAAGATGGGCTATAAATTACAGCCGTACACTTACCGGAAGGAAAGTCCTGCACTCCGGAATTCCTTTATCTCAGCTCTGTGTCTAAAGAATTAATGTTAAGATACAGTCTCTGCTGCTTAGGAGCTCACACTAATTAAAACGAGAGTTAAAGACCTAAGTACCTCTGGGAATCTGGGCCGAGGGATCCAACCCTTCAGGTACTTGCAAATTCGATCCCAGCCATCGCAAGACGCTGGGAATTTGACCCGGCGTACTGCGCACAAAGGAAATCCTTGTTCCTAACTTCCCTCAGGGGTTAGCCGTGCAGCGCTGGGCTCTCTGCTGCCTGCCGCGGGGCAGGACAGCGCCTGCAAGGGCGGCCGCGCCGCCGTGCCCGCACGGGAGGCCGTTCCCGCAGGGAACCGAGCGGCCGCGCCACTTCCTCCTTCCGCCGCTCCCGCGGAACCCGCCCGCCCACCGCGGCCCCGCCGCATCTGCCCCTCGCACAGCCGCCGCCGTGCCCTCACGAGGGTGGGACCCCGGGGCTCCCCCCCGGCCCGGCGCCCTGCACTGTGCCAGTTCTGTCATCCTCCCCTCCCCTTCCCTTCCCTTCCCTTATCGGAGCCACCGCAGCCGCCAGACCCGCAACAAGTGCGGGGCCCCCCCCGCCCGGGCCCGGCCCGGCCCGCGCCGCGGCCCTCCCGACCCAACGCCCCCGCCTTTGTCTGTGCGCCCGAGCTCCCTCCGCACCCGGGAAGCGGCGGGGACCCCCCGTCCGCTCCATCTCCGCCGCGGCCGCGTCTTCCCTTCCCCCCCGCCCCTTCTCAAATGTAGCGGCGGAATCGGGCTCGGCCCCGGTCGCTGCAGCCCGACCTTTTGTTTTTAAAACCGATGCGCATCTGCCCGGGAGCCCCCGCTGCCCCGCACACGGAAACGGCAGCAATGCGGAAAAATAAAATGAAAATTAAACACGAAGAAAAGAATAAATAGGAAAAAAAATAGAAAATAATTCAAAATTACCTTGCCGGCCCGTTTTCGCGGCCCTTATATAATTCCTCAAGGTTACCGCCGTTGCCAGGGGACACGAAATGGAAATGAAAACAGGCGCTGAATAATCGCGGGAGCAAAACTAAAAGTTCAGTGCCTCCGCCCGGGCGGAGAGAGGGCCAGATCGAAAGCAAAACAAGGAGAGGAAGCGGCGAGGCCGCCGGCGCTTGGAAATCCCCCCGCCTCTCCGCCGGGCCGGGCCGGCCGCGCAGGCGGCGGGGGCAGGGCTGCGGCGGCGGGCGCGGAAGCGCTGAGCCCGTCACCGCCGCGCCGGGGCACAGCACAGCGCCGGGGCACGGCACGGCACAGCGCCGGGGCACGACACAGCACGGCTCGGCACAGCACGGCACGGCACAGCGCCGGGGCACGGCACGGCACGGCTGGGCACAGCACGGCAGAGCGCCGGGGCACGGCACGGCACAGCACAGCGCCGGGGCACAGCACAGCCCGGGGCTCCGCCACCGACCCCCGCCCGGCACCGGCTCCCGCTGATCCCCCGCCTCCCGCAACACGCGCTGGGCCCGCAGGGCTGCAGCGAGAGCTGGAGCCAGCCCCGGGGAGCGAGGGAGCACTGCTCTGGGACGCACAAACCCAGCGCTCAAAGCAGGTTTTCACGGAGACCAGAGAGGAATCCCTGCCGCTCAGCTCCACCAGCACGGACTGAATCGCTCCTTGCGTCTCTAGCCCCTCTGCTGAGGTGGGAGTCTTGGTTTCGGTCTGGCACACGCGCATGCCAGAGCTGTCATTGCCTTTGGAAAAGTACAATGTCGTAGTTCCACAACGAGGACAATTACAGATCAGATCCTTTGAACCCAGCGAGGCTCGAGCGGCTGGTTTATTTCAAGAGGGAGCTCTTGGATTTCAACAGATTTAACAAACTGCCTTTAGTTATGGAGTCAATGTAGAGACCAAAGCTTTCTACGGGATTTTGACAATCCCGATTCAAACTACAGTACATAAAATTCACTGAGGTTGCAATGTGCCATTCCTAGCCCTAGCCATAAATGAGAAAGGAAAAGAGCACTTGGAGGCTGGAGGAGATGTGAAATGTAGTAGTTTCAAAGGGCTGCGTATGGGGACAGACAGGTGTGTACACCTCCCTCACACACATATCTATCTATATATGTGCTGTATGCACAAGCATACGGGGTATTGGGGTAGCCAAGGGGGTGCAGCTCCCTGTGCAGACACATGGTGCATGGCCGGCAGCGGTGGGAGAAGTGCCGGGACACCGGGGGTTGTGCAAGGAGTGGCACAGGGGAGTGGTTAAGGAGCTCTCCAGCTGTACAGCAGATGGAGGGGAAGCTGTTCTCCAGGTGCTGTGGGCTCTGAGGATCCTTTGTGGCAGCATCCCTGGATGTGCAGAGGACACCAAGCTAGCAATGAGATAGGGAGTCCAGCCTCATGGGTGACAAGACCTCCTGTTGTGAAAAGGCTTTCCTTGCACTGAGAACACAATCACAAAACAAATTAGGTTGGCAGAGACCATGGATGTCAGCAATCTACCCCCTCCAAAAAAACCACTGAGGCCTAGAAGATGGCTGTGGTCCAGTGAAGTAGGAAAGGTCAAGGAAGAGGTTTGGGAAGCAAGACATAGGGTGCCAGGCAGGACAGTAATATCAAGTATCTCCTTCAAAACTTCTCTAGAAACATTCTCAGCAGTAAGGAGAGGTCCACATTCGTGTGGAGGGACACAGGTTCCCAGAGCAGCTGCACAAGAGAAGCAAGGAAAGTCCTACTCACATGGCTGATACTCCAGGTACTTCCAGAAGAGACTGATTTCCATGAAGCCACAGTGAAAGGAGAATGAGGGATATGGGACACCTGGCTCAAACTGGCATTTTGACTGAATAGATGTGCAGGGAAAGGAAATATTCAGCAAGACATGGTAGTGACAGACCACGGCTTATGTAGGAGGGTCAGACTAGGCCATGGCTATAGGGAAAGAGGCTATGAACTCCATGACAAAAGAACAGCAAAATCAGCAAACTCCAATAACTAAAGCCAAATTTTCACAGACTGAAGGTCTAACTAGGATAACTGTAGAGTATTAGTGCCTTCTGAGCAGGTTGGAGGTGGTTACTGTGGCCAGGTTGGATTACAGAGGAGTAAATTGATTGAAAATGAGCAATTTCTAACCAACTTGCTCCCACTCAGAAATAAGGTCTAACAGTTGCAATAACTCATGGAAGAATTGTTTCAGCACTTAGAAACTGTCCCAAAGCTGGTGGAAGATGGCAGGATGAAACACTAAGAACAGAATGGGGAGGGCTGCAATGCCTCCTGAGGATTGCTCTGGCCCATGTGTAACAGGAAGAGCAAAGATCCAGAGAAAAGCAACAAACATAAAGAAAAATATGGAGCCACCCTGATGTTAGAGGGACACAAGGATTTAAGTGTCTGAGATTATACAGGATGGAGAAGTGATAAACAACAGAAAACAGTCAGACCAGAGAGAATAATTAGTAGAGAGGAGTAGGGGTGGATTATTTGCTTTCTTTTCTAATATAAGAACTAGAGAGCATCAAGCAAAACTAGCAGATGGCCAATTTAAAGCAAACAGAAGGAGGTGGATCTTCATGCAGCAGGTAATTAAACAGTAGGACATCCTCCTTTGAGGTGCCAGTAGTCCTCTGGGGATCCCAAAAAAGCACCTGTACACATTCACAGAAGCAAAAAACCACCATGAGGTCTATTAAATGTAAAGGCACCAACTCTGCCTCAAACAGCCCCCAAAGCCCCACATTTCTAGGACCTAGAACCTCTTTGGCACCCTTCAAAAAGTCCTGAATAGAAATGCCTGCAGATGGTTCAGGGCAGGAATGCTACTCCAACATCTCCCTCCAAGAAAAGAGTTAGAGTGACTTGGGCTGGCTTTTGCAATACTCAGTAGCTGTTATTTTTTCTAGTATGTGCTTTTAAATTGTTTGCAGAATGAGCCAGCTGTGAAAAATGCTGTAGTTTATGTATCAGTAAATATTGTGTAGAAAAAATACCATCATTTTAATACTTTGATGTCTCATTTAGAGGACACTATTCATTAAGTGGCATTGCTATGGATTACATGAGCTGGTTTTGGTCAAAGGAAACAGTGGGCTTCCCTGAGAAACAGTGGGCTTCCCTGAGAAGCACTGGCCAAGCCATTGGGCAGAATTTGCAGCTTGCCCTTGCCATTGCCTCCTACCACCTTCACCTGATCTCAGTGGAGCACATTCAAGGATCTTGATGCATTCTGTGCATTGACAAAGGTCTTTTCCTGCACAGCTCCTAGCACCACAAAATGAGAAGTTATACCAGAAGTTAAATCTTCTGCTGTGATTCCTTTTTTTTTTTTTAATGCTGAAAAGTAATGGGAATAGGCAGCTTTAGTTTTCTAAACTTATCTTTCAGCAGTGACTCGTTCTCTCCAAAAAGAGACTTTAACCTCTTGTGACTTTACTGTTTCAGTGAGATATGGCAGCTTTTAAATCAGAGAATTTAACCCAGAAGCATCACATATCCACTGCCTTTCCCCTGCAGAACTGCCAGAGTTTGCAACTTATTCTTTTAACCACCTTCTTTAGGGATCTGGCTACTGGAATTAGTTTCTTCCATTAGCATCCTGCCTTTCCTTCACAAATAGGTCTCTTTTTCTAGCCTGGAGTTAATTTCTGTGAGAAAAAACTTCAGACTGGGAATCCCTTAATTTCCAGAAGGTAAATAAATATGCAATATGCCAGCCATTTTGGTGTGCATTTTTTTAGTTTGTATTTGTTTTGTTTGGTTGTTTTGTTTTGTAAGTTTAATAATGGTTTTGAAAAGTTAAATAACATTTATTACATCTTCCCTTTTTGCTGCTTTTCTTGTGGGTTTTACCCTGTCTTTATGTGGAGCTGACTATACCATCATTTTGGTTCTTAAAATCACTGTCACAGGCATTGGGACTATTCGTATGTAGAATTGGAGAAGGTGAATTTCTCATGGAGCTGGGACTCAAGCTTACCTATCCACCTACAGCTGACCTGTTTGTTTTTCTGTTACATTAAAGTGGGAAAGTTAACTTATGTTACAGACCAGTATCAAGAAAATAAATAAATTGCAAGAGTCATAATTCTTACTTTAATAATGTTACCCACACCTTCCTGAGTGCCTACACCCATTTTTAAACATGATGCACAGTTAAATTTATTTTCAGTTTTAATTTGTTCTGTGAAAAACATTCTGATGCTGATGTAACCTTCTGCATTGACATTTTTAGATACTAGATAGTAATGACACCTTTCTTACTAAAAAAGCAAAAAATAGACAAACAAAAAAGCCGTGAGATTTTTAGGGCTAAGAAGTTTAAGTATTTGCATATTACTGTAACACAAATAATCACTCAAAGTATGATGGAAAAGTGTGGACTAACCTTTTAAGAAGTTGTAATTAATTTGTCCTCTGATATCAGTTTCACTTGTTGGAGGGTTGGTTGTTTGTGATTTTTTGTTTCACTTACTTTGTGTGTATACTATTGTGAATAAAAGGCTTTGGTGTTTCTGCAGTGTTCTAAAAGTATTTATGCTCATGTTAAAATTCACAGAAACTAAGGCTTGTTGCTAGAACCCTGGAGATACAGCTAGGTCTCTTACCCATACTCTGGAGGGAAAAAAATTAACTCGCTTCAGTCCCAATTGTGCAAATAGGCCCTTAAATACAAGGACATGAGCAATTCCTCTCAAGTACAGCGAGAGCCTTCGCGCGTCTGAAGTTAATGTGCCCCCAGGAGTGTGGATGGGGAGAGCCACCCACCCTTCCTTCTTTTCTTCATTTAATCCAGGTTCCTCAACTCAAACTTTTTGTGGTGTTTCCCCCCCTTTTCGCTCCACTCTAATGGCTGCGGGGAAGTGTGCAGCCCGCTGGGGCTGCTCCCGGGGATGCCGTTCCCGGCAGGGCGCGGCTGAGCCCCGCTGGCCGGCTGCAGCAGGGAGCCGCGGGGCAGCGGGGCTGAGCGCCGGCAGCACGGCCCCGGGGCTGCTCACACGGCACCGAGGGAATTCCCTGCCCGCCTTCCGGAGCACATCCATCCTGCGATATTTCCTTTGGTTTTTGGTTGGGTTGCGCCAGCAGGGACACCTACCTATGAGAGGCTCAACAGGGTGTCTAAACTAGTGAGTACTTCTCAGCTCTGCATTCCGGCTCTGCTGTTCTTCTGATTGCTAAGAAATGAGATGGTGGGAGTGTGGCTTTGTTTTTATTGGTAATAATTACAGAAAACTTCCAGATGGAAAAATCTATTTGCTCAGACCAGATCTCTAAAGAGTACCTTCTCTAAACTGCAAAATAAAACTTTTACGTTGCAATTCAAAGCCTCTTGTACTTTCAGGAAAGCTAAGTGTCTTCACAAAGGTGAAGGTGTTGTTCTATCCAGCCCTTAGCAAATTTGTTCACAAAGAGCCAAGAGATGAAACAATAACCTGTGACAGACATTATTCTACTAAGAAATAGTTATGCCTTCCCAATCATATTGGTCTTGTTGCATCTAGGTGCTGCAGGAGGACAGGTAACTGGGAAAAGCCGGTCTCCTGAGCCCAAACCAAACACATGACGTAGCAGAACACTATTGAGGACTAGAGAGCCTGTTCATTTTACTTGTCACTGCTTTTATTTGGCTGCAGCACTTCAGCCCATGGCTCTGCCAGGTCAGCTGCTGTACACAATTCCCTTTATTTAATAGCAGAGAAGAAAGGGAGCCAGGAATTTGCTTAACAGCACTGTGAGATAGTTTTGGTTACTCACATCTCTTGGCCCACACAGCAAAATTTAGGGACGAAAGAAGTAATTTAAAAACACATACAGCATGTTGACATTTCAGGGCTGGAGTGGAGTTTGGCAGAGAAAGCCTGGATAGGAGACAGGCCACTTCAGCAGATCACACCTGAAAGTGATCCTGCTTAGCCCTGCTGCAATAGAGTGTTTCACTGAAGTGGAAGCTTTTATGGCAATTTTCCCAGTGAAACTGAGGTAGAATACAAAGAAAAGTGATATGTTGCCTATTGGCTTGACAAAGCAGAATAAATATGTTTCTTCAGGATAATAATCAGGTATTAGGAGCTTTGCTTCATGTTACGTATGAACACATCCTTTGATTTATTAATTCAAAACTTATTTATTGTTAGAAATAGCTCAATTCTCTTTGTAGAGGAGAAAGACACTTTTCTCTTTTCATCTTCCTGTTTGTAGTGGATTTTCACATTAAAAGAAGACTTTCCAGAGATATCAGTTGCAGAAATGTTCACCAGGCACATTGCCCCATCAATCACTTTCCCAAACAGATTATATTCTTCCTTAAATCCTGCCATGGCCCCATGGCTTTGTGGGGAGAAAAGTTCCACCCCATGATGGGCGTGCTTTCTTCCGCTACAAAACTGGAGGACAGGAGGACAAAGGGAGCCTGTCCACTCCTTGGACTTACCCCAGACTGTGCTGAGCACCCCCTGACTTGGACAGGTTTGTTCATGTTTGCCCACATGGACAAAGCAGCATCCCAGCTCCCATCCCCACTTGTCATGGTCCATGCCAGTGCATCCCTTTGCTGGGCGATGGGGGCTGTCAGGGACCATTGCCCATGTCAGAAGGAGAGGCAAGAGGTGCTGGGATGTGGCCACCTCATTGATCTCTCAATGGTGAGGGAGGCATAGGGGTGTCAAAAAGGGGGGTCCTCCTCAGGAGGTTTCCTGCTGACAAAACAGGAAATTCTCTGTGTGCCCCCTAGCTTGTCTGACCCTGCAGCAGCCTCTTAACTTTGGGAGGCTGTTTAAATACAGCTCCAGCCTTTCCTCCTTGGTGCGCTCTCCAGCTCATACTGCAACACCACCCAACCACAGAAAGAGAAAAAAAAGAGGGACCCAGTTACAAGCAGTTAATTTAAGGCTTTTCTATCTGAAGTTAAAATGGTCACTACAAGTTACAAATCCATTTCCAACTCACCACTCTCTTTAAAGCTTTGGCTTGTTTACCTTTCCTAATCAGTGTTTAATTATTAACAAAGGAGTAATTTTTGGATAACAAGTCCTGTCTGCTGACTGCCTTCATGTATGTGGACTGGCAACACTGATCTCCAGAGTGCTTCTCCATACCCTCTGCACATCCAACTGACCATCCTCTCAAAGCAAGAGCAGATGTAACATCTTTTGGATGCACTGTACTAGCTGAAGTTGAGCTCCTCTGCTGCACCTTCAGTGCTGGCTTGTCGAGTCCAGCAAGTTAATTTTCTGAAAGGCAGCAGCTGGCCCTGCTGAGCTGTTTCTAGAGTGCAGCTCATCCATGACTCATGTCTCCTGCAGCCCATCTTGCTGCACTTCTTTTTTGACAAGTCATTTCTGCCACTCTGGCCGTTGCCCTGCTCTCAGGTTTGCTAAGCCCACATAACCGAGGCTTTCAGAAGTGAGTGGATAAACAGTGTCAGGGTCTGAATATGAAACCTTTCATGGCACAGTAAAAGCTAACATCAATTTTAAGTAAACTATTCCCAGAATCTTCCATTGCTACTCAATGGAAGCATCTTGCCAGAATCTTGCTATCAAGACACATTGGTATCTTGAAAGGGTTACAGGGGCATTATGTGGCATATTTTTGAGAAAACTGTCTTGAGTTCTGCAGAGAACTGATGTAATGCAGCTGGGGAAATGCTGAGTTGGTATCCGAGTGCAAGGGTTCTCAAAACCATGGACAGGACTGCTTTATCACTTTAAAAGAAAGAGGTCGTGGGAGGGTAGGGTGGAGGAAAACTCCTGGCTATTAATAGAGAACATGAGTAGGAGCTTTATTTTGAAAGGCTTCTTTAATTAGTGACATGAAATGCAGAAGCAAGGCTCGTGATGCACTCTACCTACTGACTTCCTAAGCGCAGATCAGAGAGAGGCAGACAGATAAAAGACCATTGCCATGCAGGGGAGTTTTGAATAGGCCAAGCTAAAATGCCCAAATTAAAAAATAACCAGGACATCAGTCAACCTTGATCTTCAGACGGACTGTCTCTTAAGGTAGGCTAGTGGAGTCAGTGCCAGCTCAGACTCAGGAAATTTAAGTTGCCTTCCCAGTCTTACCTGTCTGCTGTGAGTTTTCTTCATTACCTTTATTTCTCTCAGACTATGTGGACGATAAGTTCCCAGAGATAACAGCTGTCTCTTCTTACTCACTGTTACAGTATCTTATACAAAAGTGTCTGTCTCAGGAACCCTGCTCTCCTGCCGTGCTACAAGAAATAATGTTGCTTTGTATGGTGGTTCTCCAGTAGCACAGTTAATTTGTGGTTGTGTTTTTAGAATTTCAAATAAACCAACAACAATCATAAGCAACAATTTAGACAATTTAAATCTAGGAGAAGGGTTGCTTCCTTAGCTCTGTAAGTCATGGCGTGACACCTGGACCCATGAACCCAACTGGATTTCAGCAGTACATTATGATAGTGAGACTGCTTTGAAAAACATAACTCAGGTGCTTGTGGTCATTATTTGCACCTTGCTTTCAGTAATTACATGTGGGGTGGTAAATCCTCCTTTTAATGAAAGGAATACTGCACAGGTATGCATGTTATGATGCTTATAAGCAGTGACCAACCCTGCAGGAAAGTTTTATTATGCAGATACCAAAAGGAGAGGCAAGAGTGAACAGCCACCAGGCTGAGGCAGAGTTCCTTCTATCACAGTAAGGTAGTTCCATGGGAATGCTGACTCACCTGCTCCCTGTATAATAGAGGTGGAGAAAAAAAGCAATTATGTGTAATTTCACCACCTTTCTTTTCTTCCCGCACTGCCATTTCACTTGTGGAGTGGATCTGGCTGAAGAGCCAAGAGTTCTCTGTATGGGAAAGCCTTATAAAATATACCTTGGGCTGGATTCGTAAAAGTCTGATAAGTCGGTGTTAATAGTTCCCAATCAGCTTCAAAGAAAGGGTAGTGTTTCACTGCTTGGCAAGCCAAATCTTAATGCACATAAACCTGTTGTAAATTGTTTGTGGAGTAGTTACAGAGAACATTTACACAAAAGCTGTTAGAAGATCTGCTGGTAGTGTCTGTGCAGAATTCCCCACTCTTTTCCAACTGAACTGCATATTTAAGGTTTTCATCACATTCTCTCCCCTTTCTTCCCAACCTGGGGAATCTTGTTTTTCTTCTTGAAAGAAGAGCATTTCAGCTCATCTGCAAGTACTTGCTCATCTACTGGTACTGGTTCATCACCAGTTGTCCAAAGCAGTGTGACTTTTAGCACCTGGCACTCTCAGCAACAACATTTCACTTCACCAGTTGAGAAGTCACAGACTGTGCAGTCAATGACTTCTCTTCCTTGGCCAGAGCCAAATACCAGTGCATTAAATGGTTTCATGTGCAAAAGGGAGGAGACATGGAAGATAGCTCTGAGAAGAGTTTCACTACATGGCCTGTCATCACATCTGATTACTCATGTCAAGAACTTCAGCTATACTGTTGCTTTCCTGTCCCTCAACCTGACAGCACAGCTGAACTATAACACCAGCCAGAACCCATCA